AAAGGCACTCTTTTTTTTCACTATGTTTTTCTCCATCCCATGTCTCTCTCTCTCTCTCTCTCTCTCTCTTTAAAGGTTTATTGTGTTTACTTTTATTCTTTTTTTATTTTTGAGACAGGGTCTCTGTTGCCCAGGCTGGAGTGCAGTGGGGTGATCATGGCTCACTGAAACCTCGACCTCCCGGGCTCAAATGATCCTTCCCACCTCAGCCTCCTGAGTAACTGGGACTACAGGCACGTGCCACCTCACCCAGCTAATTTTTGTATTTTTTGTAGAGACAGGTCTTACTTTGTTGCCCAGGCTGAGCCACTGTGCCCAGCCTACTTGAAAAATTCTTTTTTTTTTTTTTTTTTTGAGACAGAGTCTCGCTCTGGCGCCCAGGCTGGAGTGCAGTGGCCGGATCTCAACTCACTGCAAGCTCCGCCTCCTGGGTTTATGCCAATTCTCCTGCCTCAGCCTCCCGAGTAGCTGGGACTACAGGCGCCCGCCACCTCGCCCGGCTAGTTTTTTGTATTTTTTAGTAGAGACGGAGTTTCACCGTGTTAGCCAGGATGGTCTTGATCTCCTGACCTCGTGATCTGCCCGTCTCGGCGAGGGATTACAGGCTTGAGCCACCGTGCCCAGCCGAAAAATTCTTAATAGCCAGTTTTAAAGGTAATGCTTGAAGCTTACATTTCCTGTGACTTTTTTTAAACACAGGGTCTCACTGTCACCCAGGCTGGAGCAGTGACACAGAATTACTCACTGCAGCCTCAAACTCCTGGGCTCAAGGGATCCTCCCGCCTCAGCCTCCCTGAGTAGCTGGGACTGTAGGTGTGTGCCACCGTGCCTGGCTAAAGACAGGATCTCCCTATGTTGCCCAGGCTTGTCTCAAACTCCTGGGCTCAAGCCATTCTCCCGCCTTAGCCTCCCAAAGTGCTGGGATTATAGGCATGAGCCACCGCTCCTGGCCTGCTTATTTATATGCTTTTGTAATGGCATGATAGCTTCTTTCATATATGTAGGAGAAAATTTTAATCGTTTTCCAGATTGAACTTGTGATTTTTGTGGTCACTCTAATTCATAGGTTTATTTTTTTGGTTTCTGAGTGCTCATTGTACCCAGAAATTGTTCCTTTTTTTAATATTGTGAAACTTCATTAGCCTAAATTTATTTGTTTTCAGTTATTTTTTCTCCTTTATCTCTGATCTTTGTTATTGTGAATGAACACTTTTTTTTAAGAGATGGGGTCTCACAGTGTCGCCCAGACTATAGTGCAGTGGCTGTTTACAGGTGCGATCATAGTGCACTACAGCACTCAGTCTCCTGAGTAGCAGAGACTACAGGCATGTTGGTGAACAATTTTCTTTTTGTGTCAAACAATTGTATTGATATTTTAATGGACTATGTACAGAAGAGACACCCTTATAGTTCTTAGTACTCACCAACTTCTTAAAAGCATTCCCACTGAGGATTTTGAGTAAGAAAATTATGTACTCATTACCATACTTCAGAATGTGATTCTGCTGGAGGGTGCTACCTGGAGAGGAATAACCAAAGAGCTGTGCATATCAAAAGTAGGAAGAGGTCCTCTCAGAGTTAAGGTTGACTGCATGCTAGCTGTGAATCCATAGTGTAATCACTACAGTTGTAAAATAGTTAATCAAACAATTGTTCTCCTGGGATGGCTAAATAAACATAAAACCATGCTGTGCAGTAATGTAGGAAATCTCTGTTATTAGAATACCATGACTAGTTTTGATCCAAAAATAAGTTATGGAAGGAATGTGAGAAAAAGGTAAGTAATGATGCCATGGACCACTTTGTTCTGCTTAGTGTCATAAGACTGAAGATCTGTGTACCTCTGCCTCCTTGTCAGTAGCCTACTTTGTTGATGTTGAAATTCTGAGAAGGCAATAGTCTGACTTCACTCTTTATCACTTCACATCATTTATTAATGTGGGAAAGACTTCCACATTGTACAGCACCTTGGAGAGAGGACACCTTAACAAAAGATCAATAATTTTATTATTTATTTATTTATTTATTTATTTATTTATTTATTGAGATGGAGTCTAGCTCTGTTGCCAGGCTGGATTGCAGTGGCGCAATCTTGGTTCACTGCATCCTCCGCCTCTCTGGTTCAAGCAGTTCTCCTGCCTCAGCTTCCCAAGTAACTGGGATTACAGGCACATGCCGCTATGCCCAACTAATTTTGATATTTTTAGTAGAGATGGAGTTTCACCATATTGGCCAGGATGGTCTCAATCTCCTGACCTCGTGATCCACCCATCTCGTCCTCCCAAAGTGCTGGGGTTACAGGAATAAGCCACTGTGCCCAGCCAAGATCAATACTTTTAAACTGGATTCCAAATGGTGAGGTGCCCTAGGAACTGCAGAGATCAAGGTCTTAAAATATTTTCCATTAAAAAGAATCAGGGAAGCCAGGTGCGGTGGCTCACACCTGCAATCCCAGCACTTTGGGAGGCCAAGGCAGGAGGATCCCTTGAGCACAGGAGTTCAAGGCTAGCCTGGGCAACATGGTGAAACCCCATCTCTACCAAAAATACAAAAAAATTAGCGGGGCATAGTGGTGTGCACCTGTGGTTCAGCTGTGTGGGAGGAACACTTGAGCTGGGGAGGCAGAGGCTACAGTGAGCCACCACTATACTCCAGCCTGGGCAACAAAGTGAGACCCTGTCTCAAAAAAAGAAAAAGAAAACAGGAATTAGGGATGCTTGAAGAAATGGCTGATTCCAAATCTGGTGCAAAAAAATGCACAAGGTAAGCCTGGAACATCTTTTCATGCCATATAGGAAGGAAGCTCTCAATGACTCATAAGGTTAAGTCATAAGGACTGAAGCGCCCACCTGAAAACTCCCACTGGCAAAACATGAATCAATTTGAGAATCAATAAGGATGATCACTGTATTGGATTGAAACACACCTAATATGTTTAATCCGTGAGTTCATAATGATACTGAAAAAAAAAATTCACTATTTGAAGGTGGTGAAAGAATGAATATCATTTTTAATTTATTATTATTAATATATTTAAGGGATACAAGTGTAGACTTCTCTTTTGTTGTTTTTTTTTTGAAACAGAGTCTTGCTCTGTTGCACAGGCTGGAGTGCGGTGGCACAATCTCGGCTCACTGCAACTCAAGCAACCCTCCCACCTCAACCTGCTGAGTAGCAGGGACCACAGGCCTGCACCATTATGCCAGGCTAATTTTTTTGTAGTTTTGTAGAGACAGGGTTTTGCCATGTTGCCCAGCCTGGTCTCAAACTCCTGGGCTCAAGCAATCCATCCACCTCAGCCTCCCAAAGTGCTGGGACTACAGGCATGAGCCGCTGCTGCCAGCCACGTGCATATACTGTATAGTAGTGAGGTATGGGCTTTTAGCGTACTGCATCATTATTTTGAAACTTATGATAAAAGTCTTATAGCTGGCTAGGCATGGCTCACACCTGTAATCCCAGCACTTTGGCAGGCTGAGGTGGGATAATGACTTGAGCACAGGAGTTCAAGACTGGCCTGGGTGACATGGTGAGACCCTGTCTTTACTAAAAATTTAAAAATTAACTGGGTTGTGGTAGTGTACACCTGTAGTCCCAGATACTCAGGAAGCTGAGGTGGGAGGATCACTTGAGCCCAGGAGGTCGAGGCTGCGGTGAGCTGTGATTGAGCCAGTGTGCTCTATCCTGGGCAACAGATCAATACCCTGTCTCAGAAAGAAAACAAACAAACAAAAAGTATTCCTGCTAATGAATGAAAGAAGTAATAACAGAATCTAAATGTCACTATTTTGGGAGGTGGCCTTCCAAAATGGTGGAGTAAGGAACTCAGGGTGTATGTATAGCTGTAACAATATTGGATGAGTTGATAAGTGTTGAATCTGGGTGATAGGTATGTAGGGATTTATTCCTTCCATCTACTTTTTTTGGGGTAACAAGATATAATTCACATGCCAATGTGAATTATTCAATGTTTATTAAATAACTAGCTATATTACCTAAAGCAGGTTAAAGAGGAAAAAGCAGCAGAAATAATTCCTTCTGGAGAAGGTGGGACAAAAGCTGTATTATGATCATGCTTATAAACATGAAGATTTCTCAATTGAGTGTAACTTAGTTTCTTCTAAATTCTGCTTTTCACTGTTATCTAAAGTCAAGATGGTTGATAGATATAGGTTAATGAGTGTAACATGGCTTATGTGAAACTTCATATTTCTAGAAATATCATCTAGCGTTAACCCTGCCTCCTAAGATATATGCTATAAAGTAATAAAAGTAGATGTCTGGTAAAGGTAGGGAAAAGGGTTTATGGGGTTATAACTATCAGCTAAAGTGAGGATTTTTTAATGCATGGATTACAGCTAGGATCTTCCTTTAGCCCCAGTAATTTTAAGGTGGTTAAGCTGAGGAGGGCTATAGCTCAGCATTACCACAGCTTGTTACACAGGGATATAAATGTGCTTGGTAAACGTATTCTTTCAGGTTGCAACTAGATGATTATGAAGCATAGTATCTTGCTGGTAAACCTTTGCTCTCATTGGTGGTGGCGTTCCTCCTTTCCCCAGTTTTGCCCTTGCACAGAATTCAGTTATTCATTTGTTCTTTGGGCTTTCTGTGTGCTTTGATCATTTCCTCCCATCTCGCTCCCTTCCAGCTTCCGTTTATCCTTCTAGGCCAGGTCCCATTTTTCTAAAAGCCCTTTCCTAATAATCCCCTCCCTAATGTCTTTTGTACTTATTTTAGTATTGTGGAGGAAGAGAGGGGGAACCTGGTTATTGCGTTATTCAAGTGAGCCTTCAGTTAGTTGAAGATTATATATTTCAAGTGTCACTAGTTGTAAATGTCAAAACAGTCTATTGACCCAAAAAAAAACCAAAGTCCTATTACTCTGGGCACACTTGGAACAATGCCTGTTTGAATCAAATCCTTCCTCCCTTCAATAAACATTGTGATTAATGCAAAATACCTAACTTCACTGAATTTTTTTTCCCTTCACTTTTTAGGATTATGGCTGCTGTTCCTCAGAATAATCTACAGGAGCAACTAGAACGTCATTCAGCCAGAACACTTAATAATAAATTAAGTCTTTCAAAACCAAAATTTTCGTAAGTGTTTTTATTGGTTTGCTGTCACACAGGCACTAACTTACCACATTGTACACATGAGATATCTTCTCTTTAAACTCTGTCATTGTACAGATGAAGAAATGAAGCTGAGAGATTCATTGATCTTCCCACTTTGTCAATTAATGGTAGAGTATGTTTTAGCAGCACCAGGTGAGATTGTGTCTGACCTTTGCATGGTTCCTGGCACATAATATTTGCTCAATAAAGATTTGTTGAGTAAATGAATAATCTTGTAAATTTGGGCAGATAAGTGTTTTTTAAGTTTTGTGGGGTTTTTTGTTGTTTTTTTGTTTTTGTTTTTGTTTTGTTTTGTTTTTTGAGGTAGAGTCTCGCTGTGTGCCCAGGCTGGAGTGCAGTGGCGCGATCTCGACTCACTGCAAGCTCCGCCTCCCGGGTGCATGCCATTCTCCTGCCTCAGCCTCCCAAGTAGCTGGGACTACAGGTGCCCGCCACCACACCCAGCTAATTTTTTTTGTACTTTTTAGTAGAGACGGTTTCACTGTGTTAGCCAGGATGATCTCGATCTCCTGACCTCATGATCTGCCCACCTCGGCCTCCCAAAGTGCTGGGATTACATGCATGAGCCACCATGCTTGGCCTTTTTTTTTTACTTTTTTGAGACGGAGTTTCACTCTTGTTGCCCAGGCTGGAGTGCAGTGGCGCAATCTTGGCTCACCACAACCTCTGCCTTCCAGGTTCAAGCGATTCTTCTGCTTCAGCCTCCCCAGTAACTGGGATTACAGGCATGCGCCACCATGCCCGGCTAATTTCATATTTTTAGTAGAAATGGGGTTTCTCCATGTTGGGCAGGCTGGTCTCGAACTCCTGACCGCAAGTGATCTGCCCTCCTTGGCCTCCTAAAGTGCTGGTATTACAGGCATGAGCCACCACGCCTGGCCAAGTATTTTAATATAATTTTACATCCTTTCGAACAACAGTTTATAAGGAAACTGCAGCTCTCCAGTTCTGCCTCTCCTCTGAGCTATCCTCCAGACTCCTAATGATATCTGATAATAATTTATATTATAAGTGATGCTTTTACCAGGTTGTAGACTCTGTCTGGGGTGCCTGGCTTTGAAGTCACCACTGACTTTTCAGATCATTAAATCCAGCAGACAGCCATGATTCCCGCCTCTTTTACTTATCCTGCAGATTTTAAGAGTTGGCAGTTTTTAACTCTTTTTCCCCTTAAAATTCTTACCAGAGTAGCAAAAAGTAGCCACATTTGAATCTCCTCCCTTTTTCTTTTTCTTTCTCTCTCTCTCTTTTTTTTTTTTTTTTTTTTTTTTGATACAGTCTTGCTCTGTCACCCAGGCTGGAATGCAGTGGCACAGTCTTGGCTCACTGCAACCTCCACCTCCTGGGTTCAAGCGATTCTCCTGCCTCAGCCTCCTGAGTAGCTAGGGCTTTAGGCATACACCACTATGCCCGGCTAATTTTTTGTATTTTTATTAGAGATGGGGTTTCACCATGTTGGCCAGGCTTGTCTCGAACTCCTGACCTCAAGCAATCCACCTGCCTCAGCCTCCCAAAGTGCTCGGATTACAGGCATGAGCCACTGCGCCCGACCTCTTCCCTTTTTCATTTATGCTATCACCCCGCTCTGTAGATGCTATTGACTAAGGACTAATAGCCTGAGAAATAAAGTAGTGGGAATGGACTCTCAAAGCCAAATATAATTAGCCTCTGAATGGGAAGGACCAGAGAACAAATAGAATTTAAGTTACCTGATAAATTTAAAATCAAGAGAGAGATGGATTCTTTGCTCAGTTGGAGTTGGGATACAATTAATGTAACCTGTGTGAATTAGTTTTTAATATTACAGTTTTGTAGAGTTGGGGGGGGGTTGTTAATATGGATCTATCTAATCCAGTTTTTCCATTATTTTTCAGAGGTTTCACTTTTAAAAAGAAAACATCTTCAGATAACAATGTGTCTGTAACTAATGTGTCAGTAGCAAAAACACCTGTATTAAGAAATAAAGATGTTAATGTTACCGAAGACTTTTCCTTCAGTGAACCTCCACCTGACACCACAAATCAGCAGAGGGTCAAGGACTTCTTTAAAAATGCTCCAGCAGGACAGCAAACACAGAGAGTTGGCTCAAAACCATTATTGCCAGATTTCTTGCAGACTCCGAAGGAAGTTTTATGCACTACCCAAAACACACCAACTGTAAAGAAATCCCAGAATACTGCTCTCAAGAAATTAGAATTTAGTTCTTCACCAGATTCTTTCAGAACCATCAATGATTGGGATGATATGGATGACTTTGATACTTCTAGGACTTCAAAAGCATTTGTTACACCACCCCAAAGTCACTTTGTAAGAGTAAGCACTGCTCAGAAATCAAAAAAGGCTAAGAGAAACTTTTTTAAAGCACAACTTTATACAACAAACACAGTAAAGGCTGATTTGCCTCCATCCTTCTCTGAAAGCGAGCAAATAGATTTGACTAAGGAACAGAAGGATGACTCAGAATGGTTAAGCAGCGATGTGATTTGCATTGATGATGGCCCCATTGATGAAGTGCATATAAATGAAGATGCTCAGGAAAGTGACTCTTTGAAAACTCATTTGGAAGATGAAAGAGGTAACAATTATTTTATCTTCATTTTAGTATGTTCATTGTACTTTTTTATTCAAAGCTAGCCATTAGGAATAGTCATGAATATACAGAGTTTTTGTCCTTAAGGTTGTTAGGGTCTTTAGTGGTGCTTTTTGAATAATCTGTTGGCCACATATCTAAGGCAGGACATACTGATGAAATGGAAGGTTTTACTCTGCTAATATAATTTCCAGGATAGCTCTGTGATTTTATACATGACGAAAATGCAGTAGTTTCCCCTTGTCCACAGCTTTGCATTCTGAGGTTTCAGTTACCCGCAGCCAGCCGTGGTCTGAAAATACTGCATATCTTCTCTCGCGCTTTGGAACCATTATTAAGAAAACACAAGCCCTGCCATACCGCGACAGTCAATCTGATAACTGAGACCACTACTAAGTGATTAACAGCAACTCAGGTGGACAGATCAGGTCGGGGCAAGATTTTATCACACTACTCAAAACAGCTTGAAACTGAAACTTTATGAATTAATTTATTTCTGGGATTTTCCATTTACATCACAATGCCTACATTATTCACCTCTCTTCATCTCATCATGTAGGCATTTTTTATCATCTTACATCTTTACAAGAGGAAGGGTGAGTACAGTACAGTAAGATATTTTGAGCGAGAGACCATAGTCACGTAATTTTTATTGCAGAATATTGTTATAATTGTGCTATTTCATTGTTCATCTTTTTGCTGTGCTTAATTCATAAATTAAACTCTATCATAGGTATGTATGTATAGGAAAACACACAGTACTTATAGGGTTTGATACTGTCCGAGATTTCAGGCATCCACCGGGGTCTTGTCACATATTTCCCGAGGAAAAGGGGGGTGCTGTTGTAAGATCCATAGAGGTTAAATAGTGGTCAGTGGTAAATTGGAAAATGAAACTAAGCCTTTCTACTGTAATTCCTTTATGGCTTGTTGCCACCTAATATTGATGAATAATGTACACTAGTTGTACTATTAAAGTATTATAAATTACATTCAAAGTTTTTCCTGGCTAGATCTTGTAATTATTAAGTGTCCAAAATTGAGTAATTGAGATTACCTACATGTGGAAGTAACCACCTTATGAAGCAGTTGCAAATATGAGAGTAAAATTGTTAAACACCTGAATCCCATTAAGGTTACTCTAGGGTGAGAGAGCACTGAAAAGTGATTGATAATAAGCAAAACTATAGTCTCATCAATGATGCTTCTGTTTCTGAAGGGAAAATTTGTTAAAAGATAGAGAGCAACAATTTGGGTTGTGTTTTCCCCCATAGTCCAAAAGAGAGACTTAAATAACTAGGAAACTTTGTGGTAAAGGTGGTTTGTACAAGCAGCCATGTTTATGTTATTATCAGACTTATCTGTTACACTTTACCCTTATTTAAATATGAGTGAAAAGCTGAAAACTAGAAACGTTGATACCAAATATGTGTCTCGTAATTAACCAGAGACAGACGTGAAAATCCCTAAGCAAGTCTTTGGCCTCAGTCGAGCATTCACTAGACTTAATCCAGTTGACTCAATAATAATCATTTATGAATAAATAAGCCAGCATTAGTGTGTGAAGGGAGAGGATCCATACAAAGTGGTGTGATTGTTTGTGACTTGCCAGAAGCACTCATTCTTTTTTTTATTATTATTATACTTTAAGTTCTAGGGTACATGTGCACAAAGTGCAGGTTTGTTACATATGTATACATGTGCCATGTTGGTGTGCTGCACCCCTTAACTCGTCATTTACATTAGGTATATCTCCTAGTGCTATCCCTCCCTCCTGCCCCCTCCCCACAATAGGACCCGGTGTGTGATACTCCCCTTCCGGTGTCCAGGTGATCTCATTGTTCAGTTCCCACCTATGAGTGAGAACATGCGGTGTTTGGTTTTCTGTTCTTGCGACAGTTTGCTGAGAATGATGGTTTCTAGCTGCATCCATGTCCCTACAAAGGACACGAACTCATCCTTTTTTATGGCTGCATAGTATTCCATGGTGTGTATGTGCCACATTTTCTTAATCCAGTCTGTCACTGATGTACATTTGGGTTGATTCCAAGTCTTTGCTATTGTGAATAGTGCCGCAATAAACATACGTGTGCATGTGTCTTTATAGCAGCATGACTTATAATCCTTTGGGTATGTCCCCAGTAATGGGATGGTTGGGTCAAATGGTATTTCTAGTTCTAGATCCTTGAGGAACCACCACACTGTTTTCCACAATGGTTGAACTAGTTTACAGTCCCACTAACAGTGTAAAAGTGTTCCTATTTCTCCACATCCTCTCCAGCACCTGTTGTTTCCTGATTTTTTAATGATCGCCATTCTAACTGGGTGTGAGATGGTACCTCATTGTGGTTTTGATTTGCATTTCTCTGATGGTGAGTGATGATGAGCATTTTTTCATGTGTCTGTTGGCTGTATGAATGTCTTCTTTTGAGAAGTGTCTGTTCATATCCTTTGCCCACTTTTTGATGGGGTTGTTTGTTTTTTTCTTGTAAATTTGGTTGAGTTATTTGTAGGTTCTGGATATTAGCCCTTTGTCAGATGAGTAGATTGCAAAAATTTTCTCCTATTCTGTAGGTTGCCTGTTCACTTTTGCTGGAAGCACTCATTCTTACGCACTCATGCCCTGTTCTTTCTGTCTCATTAGTGGTTAACAAATCTACATTTATCAACTGTTTTACTGTAGATAATAGCGAAAAGAAGAAGAATTTGGAAGAAGCTGAATTACATTCAACTGAGAAAGTTCCATGTATTGAATTTGATGATGATGATTATGATATAGATTTTGTTCCACCTTCTCCAGAAGAAATTTCTGCTTCTTCTTCCTCTTCAAAATGCCTTAGGTAAACTAGCTAAATAATTAGCATTATTATTTGTTTCTGAGATACTTTAAATAGTTTAATTTAGTTATATAATATCATTTCTATATAAAAGTGTTTTGTGTTTTGTGTAATTATTTTACATTCAAGTGAAAGTCTCAATAAAAAACCCTATTTATACATTTAATTGGTTGCATTCTAAAGATGAAGTCCCATTATGATTAATTACATGAACCTTCCAAACAATTTTATGTAGTTGATTTGTTTTTTTTTTTTTTTTGAGACAATCTCGCTCTGTCGCCCAGGCTGGAGTGAAGTGGTGTGATCTCGTCTCACTGCAGCCTCAACCTCCTGGGTTCGAGTGATTCTTGTGCCTCAGCCTCCCAAGTAGCTGGAGCTACAGACACACGCCACCATGCCTGGCTGATTTTTCGTATTTTCAGTAAAGACGAGGTTTTGCCATGTTGCCTAGGCTGGTCTTGAACCCCTGAGCTCAGGCAATCCTCCCGCATTGACCTCCCAAAGTGCTAGGATTACAGACATAAGCCACCTTGCCTGGCCTTATATAGTTGATTTTGACATAAGGAATATATTTCTGAAAATATTATATTTCCAAACCTGACCTGAAATGACACAAAGCTAACCCATTATATGGGAAGTGAACTGGGACATTAGTACTTTTTAAAAAATCCTACAGGATAGAATTGGCCATTGTATTTGTTATTCACTCAATTTTAGCAAATTGGTGACATGATGATTGTTAATTGGTAGTATTACGAGAAAAATAGATACTCCATATGACTCATCAATAGCTTAAATTGCTAAGTGTCAATGTTACCTTCATCCTCATCCCAGTCTCACTCTCAGACCAGTTGAGTGGTAGAGTATAATATATACTAAACTGAGCAAAAGTTTGTATGGGGTCTCAATTCTAAACCAGCATTCTCATTTACTAGGTGGAACAGCTGAGGCCCAGGCAGGAGCAAGGAATTGCCCAGGATGATAAAATGAATGAGAGATGAACTCAGATGCAGTGTAGTGCTTTTCCGGTGTCATACTGATTCCTTGTTGAATGCCTGGCTTTTTTCTTTACTTATTAAAAATATGTATTACACAAATAATATAATCATTTTAACAAGTATTCTAAATAAGAAAGAAGGAGCACTGCTGGGTGTGGTGGTGTGGTAGTGGCCTGTAGTCCCAGCTACTCAGGAGGCTGAGGCAGGAGGATCCCTTAAGCCGAGGAGTTCAAGGCTATAGCATGCTGTGATTACGCCTATGAATAACCATTGCACCCCAGCCTGGGCAACATAGCAAGACCCTCATCTCTAAAAAATTAAGAAGAGAGAGACAGAAGGAATACTAGTAGTCCCACAATTCTGACTATTTTCTTTATCCATCTTCAGTTTTGATCCTTTTCTTTTTTTCTTTCTTTTTTTTTTTTTTGAGACGGAGTCTCGCTCTGTCGCCCAGGCTGGAGTGCAGTGGCACGATCTCCACTCACTGCAAGCTCGCCTCCCGGGTTCATGCCATTCTCCTGCCTCAGCCTCCCAAGTAGCTGGGACTACAGGCGCCCGCCACCACGCCCAGCCAATTTTTATGTATTTTTAGTAGAGACGGGGCTTCACCGTGTTAGCTAGGATGGTCTCGATCTCCTAACCTCATGATCCGCCCACCTCGGCCTCCCAAAGTGTTGGGATTACAGGCGTGAGCCACCACGCCCAGCCAGTTTTGATCGTTTTCTACATGTGTGTTTGATTTCTGCATTGTTGTAATCAACATGTAATTATAATTTTATATTCTGCTTTATTTCTCTTAGCATTATTTCTAAATTACTTTCCAATTGCTAATATTTAATTCCTTTTAGTGGCTACATAATTTATCAAATTGTCATACCATAAATAAATTTACCTAGAGTCTTAACAGTTAAAAAAGCTTATTTTGCAAAGTATTTCCAAGGTAGACTCTCTTTGTACATTTCCCATTGTAACTTAGTATACATATGTGTATATATTATAAAAACTGAAATAGAATTTTCACAATATTTTTTGTGCAGTGCACAGCTTAAATTCTGTGCTACATTTTATTTCAGTTTTAAAAAATACTAGTTGTATCCTCTGAATTTCAGAAGTCAAGTGGTCAGACAGTATATAACAGAGAAGAGAGACCTGTTTTTCAATCTCCTCTTTTCTAAAACCTCTGTAGCTGGCCCTCAAGATTCTGCATCTTCTGGCCACAATTTACCTTTTTCAGCTTTATTTCCACTTATGCCCTTGCAATAATCCAATGGTCTTAATGAGTCAAACCAACAATCTAGAAAGCATTATCATTTTCTTTAATTATAATGTTATTGTTTAAAAACCAATATAAAAAAGTTACACTATTTTGATTTAGTTAGAAAGTTGCATTCCAAAAGTCTGCTTTAGGAAAATATGGTTGATTCCCAGATGTCAAGCAAATAGAATTGTCCTTTTTAAAATCTTTCTTTCATAGTCTGGCACTTTCCCCATACTTGTCATTCAAAGTTTGCTTAAATCTTATCTCCTTGGGAAAGCCTTCTCAAGTTCCAAAAAATGTTACCTTTCTTTGGATTTCCACTGTATCCTCTCTTTTTTTTTTTTTTTTTTTTTTTTTTGCCAGGAAATACTTTATTGACAACCAGGGACACAGCCATAAAAGAAGGAAGCACACAGGACTGCAAACTAACACCCAATAGCCAGCAAGGGCCCTCTGGGCCAGGAATACTGAATCCTGGGGTCCTCACAGTCTCCCACGAGTAGATGTACAATACTGGGCATCCAGGGGAGGGGGCAGTGGCTCTGGTGTCCCAGAGAGTGAGAGGATATATGATGCCTCATTATGAGCGACACGGTACGGAGGTAAAATGGAGGGTCCATCACTGCCTAAGACCACCTCCTCCTCTCAGAGCCAACACCAGGTGAAGAACTGAACCACCTAAAATCTTGTAATCAGCTGCTGTCTTCTCATCATTCATCTGTTTGCCACTGTAGATGAGCCTCTGCTGTTGTGGGGGGATTCCCTCTTTCTCCTCCACACGCTCCTTGATCCGCTACACCTTGTCTGTAGGTTCAGTGTCAATCTCAGTCTCCTTTCCGGTCAGCGTCTGCCTCAGTCAAGGAAGTGAGGCTGGTCCAGGATGCCAGGCTCAGAAAGGCAGATGCTGACTGAACACACTCCCTGCTTTGGTTCCTTCACTTTAATTAGCATCTTCTTTCCAGTTTGGGGCTGCACACGGATAAATTGCTGCTCCTACCGCTCCGGTCGCCGCTGCCGCTCTCCAGCACTCTGCCTGCTGTATCCTCTCTTTAACACTCATTCAGTACTAGTTTATTTTGTTATTTGTAAAGTATTTTTTTCTGTCTAATCAGACTGACCAGGTTTGTATGTTAATATGTTTTTGTATAATCTGTGTGGTGAGGTAATTATATATACAGACACACACAAACACATATACATATATTTGCATAATAAGAGAAGTCCAGAAAAAGTGCTTTGAAATCTCAGAAAAAAGAGACATTAATGATCATTTGCTGGAGAAGTAACGCTTGGGCTGGGGCTAGAAGAACAGGTGTAATTTGGGTAAAAAGAGATTGGAATGGCAGGTTTTCCAAATTGAGGGGATCAGTAGCAAAATCCCCAAAATAGGCAATGCAGGGCTTATATGAAGAATGTAAGTGGTACAGTATGATCGAAGCCTTGGGTTACTGAAAGGACATAATTGGAGATAAAGTTGAAAAGGGCTCTTGGGACCAGAGGAGGGACAACTTTGAGGACCAGCTAAAGAAGTTTTATAATTGAGGAAATTAAAAAAACTACTTCTCTTTTCTGTTATATATTGTCTGATCAGTTGTAGAAAAATATTAAGGGTTTTGAAATTATACATTTATTGGGTCTAGCCTGTAGTATGATTGGCTTAACATTTTTTTATTTGCAGTATGTTAAAGGACCTTGACACCTCTGACAGAAAAGAGGATGTTCTTAGCACATCAAAAGATCTTTTGTCAAAACCTGAGAAAATGAGTACACAGGAGCCGAATCCAGAAACCAGCACAGACTGTGACGGTACAAACAATATTTTAGACATATCATGTATTTCAACTACTACTTTTGAAAACAACGTAACACAAAGATTGTGTTTTCAACCTGTGGCTGTATGTTATAAAATGGCAGATTTGTAGTCTCTTCTAATGTTATAACCCTGTTCACTGGTTAGCCAGCATTTACCTGAAGAACTCATGAACTCATGCTCTCACAAGGGCATTCTTTCCATCTTTTGAAAACGCTACTTGTTAGAAATAATCTCTCATACTCAACTTTAAATTCTAGGAGGTTTTTACATATTTATTTATTTATTTATTTAATCTTCCACAAATGAGAACTTCCACAAAATCATGTGTTTCAGAAACATGGACCACAGAACGTAATCTCATCATAATAGAGTTTTTCCCCACCTTGACTAAATATTGTTAGGTCTTTTAACTCTCCTTGCTAGAAATTGCTTTCTTGACCTTTTATCCTCCGGTTCTCCCTTGTATATACTCTGAGTCTGAGTCTGGGTCTGGGTCTTGATGTTCATTAAAGCTAAATACTTGTTTGCTTGTTTGTTTTGTTTCTAATTCATTTTTTGTTTTTTATTAAATATCTAGTGTAAATAATCGGATAGCAGTGCAAGTCTTTGACAGATGACCCTCCCCCTTCCCACCCCTGGTGTCTGCTTCTCAGAGGCACCTTCAGTCTGAAAATTTACATCCTCTTGTAGACATTTTTCTGGCATTATTTCTTTTTACTTTCCTTTTCTCTTTTTCACTCTTCCTGGAACTTCTGTGATTTGCATGTTAGACTTCCACTAATTATCTTTTCTATTTTTCATCTCTTGATTTTCTGCTTTTTAGGATATTTCCTTGATTTTATCGTTAACTCTTCTATGGAATTTTTTAAGTTCTATCAAGGCAATTTCCGAGAGCTCTTTTTTGTTCTCTGAATATTTCTGTCATGCGTTCGAGTCTGAGGGCTGCTGGGCTTTTTTAGCGATGTCTGCATGCATGTGCAGGTCATGTGTGTAGTGTTCTCTGTTGTTTTTGTTTCCTCCAGTTTTTTTGTTGTTTATTTTGGACTCAATTTATTTTAGAGATATTCATGAAATAACTGATGTGCTAGGCGCTCTTATAAAGTGCCTTACAATATTAACTAATTCACTCATCACAATAAACTACGTCAAACTTTAAGGTAATTTCTTTTCTTTTTTTTTTTTTTTTTTTTTTTTTTTTTTTTCCTGAGACAGAGTCTTGCTCTATCACCCAGGCTGGAGTGCAGTGGCAGGATCTGGGCTCACTGCAACCTCCGCCTTCCGGGATCAAGCAATTCTCCTGCCTCAGCCTCCCGATTAGCTGGGATTGCAGATGTGTGCCATCACACCTGGCTAATTTTTTGTATTTTTAATAGAGACAGGGTTTCACCATGTTAGCCAGGATGGTCTCGATCTCCTGACCTCGTAATCCGCCTACCTTGGCCTCCCAAAGTGCTGGGATTACAGGCGTGAGCCATGGCACCCGGCCCACTTTAAGGTCGTTTCTGTTATCCCCATTTAACAGATAATGAAACTAAGGTACAGGAGCATTAAATAATTACACACTGTCATAGAATTAGCCGCAGAGCTAGGATCTGAACACAGCAGTCTTGAGGCTTTGAGTTTTCATTAATAACAACTGCATTATACTGTCTCTGTATCATTAAGTTTCACTAATAAAATGGTTAGCCAGAACAGGGGCAAGGACAGAGTTCTCCAGCATGTCAGTAGAGGCTTCCCTCTTGGCTTACATCAGTCCATTCATTACCACTTCTTGTTCAGCTAGTTACATATCTGTCTTCAGACCACGTTTCTGTTCTTTATCCATGGAGACACAAAAGACTTGGCCATGTGACTCCAAAAAGTTTGAGGTGTGAGGCAGCAAGAGGAATGGGTGGGACATTGACTCTAGAGTGCTACAGATCTGTGATAGAAACCTGTCTCCTCCTACTCTTGGCTGTGTGACTATGGCAAATAGTTAAACTTCTCTGGACTTCAGTTTTTTTCTTCTATAAAATGAGGAGAATGATATCTACCTTGCTGGGTAGTTGTCAGGATTCAAGGTAAAGTGCCTAGTACACTGCAGGCCTTTCATAAATGATAGCTATTGTTATCTGCCAGTCTAGTAATCCTTATAAAGAAGGAAATACGTTAAGATGGGTGGTTTGTCTTTCTGACTCTATAATTGTTTCTTCCCCCTTAGAGCTCACAAAGCAGCTATTTGATAACAGACTCTAGAATTTTGCTTTGAATTTACATCAAATCCCCAGCCTGTAGTTTTTGTCAATCACTTTCAAATTTTTTGAAAATTAGACCAATGTTTGTCCTCACTTTCCATTATTTATCTGACACTAGATGCCTCACACACGTGTCAGTGACAGGGGCTCTGAGATCCTGTTTGCAGGTTTCCTTTGTACTCTGAGGTATAATCTGTCTAGACAAGGAGTCTTGAGCTAGTTTCTGATAGCTAGGTACTCTCTTTTATCTCCCTCTGAGCCTGTCTTGGCTTTCAGTTCCATCAGACCATTGTGTATTCTCTTTCCAATCAGATGCTTGTTTTTCTTGCAGAGAAAACAGAAGTAACATAGGAGTTCAGCAATTCCAGTTTTACGTCTCACACCTCACATTTCTCTCAGTCACCAGCAGAAGTCCAAATTTCTCAGGCCATTCTTGTGCAGATGCCCTTCCCCACCCTGCCATCTTCACTCCTTGTTCTGTCCTCACTGCCTGTCCTTCCTGGCTTGTAAACCATTTAACTGACTGCTCCGTCAACAACTTCCCGGTAGCCTCATCGTCTTCTCTGATCATTTTCTTCCCCTTCTTTCTCTAATCATTTTCTGAGAATATACACTGTTTCCCCTGCAGCCCACCTAAACTGTTTTTTTCTCCTGCAGACTTTAGGCCTGAGAGGTGGCACAGGCATCTGTTGTCCTTGCTTCCTGTTGCCTTTTTTTTTTTTTCTTTTCTTCATTTTTTTTTTTTTTTCTTGCTCTGTCACCCAGGCTGGAGTGCACTGGTGCAATCTCTGCTCACTGCAACCTCCGCCTCCCAGGTTCAAGTGATTCTCCTGCCTCAGTCTCCTGAATAGCTGGGACTACAGGCGTACGCCATCATGCCCAACTTTTTTGTATTTTTATTAGAGACAGGATTTCGCCACGTTGGCCAGGCTGGTGTCGAACTCCTGACCTCAGGTGATCCTCCAGCCTTAGCCTCCCAAAGTGCTGGGATTACAGGCGTGAGCCACCATGCCCAGCCACAGTTGAGATTTTAGATGAAGGAAAGGGCCGGCACGGTGGCTCACACCTATAATCCCAGCACTTTGGGAGGCGAGCTGGGTGGATCATTTGAGGTCAGGAGTTCGAGACCAGCCTGGCCAACGTGGCAAAACCCCATGCTTAATAAAAATACAAAAAAGCCGAGCGTGGTAGCGTGTGCTTGTAGTCCCAGGCACTCAGGAGGCTGAGGCAGGAGAATCGCTTGAACCTGGGAGATGGAGGTTGCAGTGAGCCGACATTGCACCACTGCACTCCAGCCTGGAAGACAGAGCAAGAATCTGTCTCATAAAATAAAATAAAACCTCAACTGCTTTGAAATTCTATTTATTAGTTATGGCTTAATTTTTAAAATGGGAGTGGGCTGGCAGGATTCAGTTGTTCCAACATCGTATCAGGAGTTGCTCTCTCTCTCACTTGCCTTCTCTCTCCTCTCTTCTGTCCCATCTCTCTGGGTCAAGCCTCCATTTCTTTCTATCTGCTTTCTACTTTTCCTTTGTATCAATCTTATTTGAAATCTGTCTTTCTTTATAAGGTGACAGAAATGGCCACCAGAATCATATTAAACTTGGAAAAAGAGAGGTACTTTTTCCCAGTCAGTCCTAAGTATTTCCAGAGTTAATTTTCACTGGGCTGCCTTATGTCAGATGCCTACTGAGGGAGTGGGAAGGGTAGGTCTAATAGGAAATCTCGGTGCTATACTGTTACCATTAAAGGGAAGCCTGGATTCCAGGCCGATCAAAACAATGGGTAGGGCTCTTGCCTATCCAACGCTTAGCAGTACACTTTGTTTTGCACAGTGAGCTTTGCACATGAAGTTAGTTTAAAAAAAAAAAAATCATAGCTAACTGATAAACCTTTGTTCCAGCCAATGACCTTGCTTACCCCGAGAAATGTTTATTAAATATTATTAAATTAAATGAAAACAGTTATGAGCTCTTATGATAAAGCATAGAGACAACCTAATTTCAAGTTAATTCACAGGAAGATAATAGGACAATATATGGTTGTTTTTGATCTTGTTTTTACACTGCTTCACATTTTACATATGTGGCTTTCAAAATCTTAAGACTTGACTGGGCACAGTGGCTCACACCTGTAATCCCAGCACTTTAGGAGGCCAAGGTGGGAGGATCACTTGAGCCCAGGAGTTTGAGACCAGCCCGGGCAACATGGCAAGACCCTGTCTCTACAAAAAATAATTAATTAAAAAAAAAAAAACAAAAAAGATGTGTTGTGTTGCTGGGCACAGTGGCATACGCCTGTAGTCTCAGCTACTTGGGAGGCTGAGGCAGGAGGATTTCTTGAGCCCAAGAGTTTAAGGGTTCAGTGAGCAGTGATTGCACCACTGCAGTTTAACCTGGGCAACAGAGCCAGACCCACTTTCTTTCTTTCTTTTTTTTATTTATTTATTTATTTTTGAGACAAAATCTTACTCTTGTCCCCCAGGCTGGAGTGCAGTGGCACGATCTCAGCTCACTGCAACCTCTACCTCCCAGGTTCAAGCGATTCTCTTGCCTCAGCCTTGCAAGTAGCTGGGATTACAGGCACGCACCACCACGCCCGGCTAATTTTCTTATTATTAGTAAAGACGGGGTTTCACCACGTTGGCCAGGCTGGTCTCGAACTCCTGACCTCAGGTGATACACCTGCCTCAGCCTCCCAAAGTGCTGGGATTACAGGCGTGAGCCACCATGCCCGGCCCATGCTATTTAAAAAAAAAAAAAAAAATCAAGATCTTAAGACTTTTTTTTTTTTTTCTTCATTTTAGTGACAGGGTCTCACTGTGTTGCGCAAGCTGGTCTTGAACTCCTGGACTTAAGCAATCCTCCTGCCTTGGCCTCCCCAAAGTGCTGGGATTAGTCATGAGCCACCACGCCTAGCCAAGGCATTTTGTTTTTTGTTTTTTGTTTTTTTTTTCAAAGAAAAATATTAACAACATAATTACTTTATAGCTAGACAGATAAATTTACAGCAGCAGCTTATTCACGTGATGGACCACATCTGTAAATTAATTGATAATATTCCTGCTGATAAACTGAAACTTTTGGATTGTGGGAACGAACTGCTTCAGCAGCGGAACATAAGGTATCTTGATTTTCCTCCTTCTGGAATATATCCGATTATATTTTTACCACTCTTAAGTAAAAAAATGGACAAGGCAAAATGTTCAGGCTTTCTGGACTGGAAATGGCATAAAGATGCTCATCATGCAACTATTTTTTAAATTCATTTACTTTTCAAACTACTCCTTTACCATTCGTATTCATATTTTTAAGTTAGAAAAAAATGAATATATTTTGCTACAATTTCTATTTGGTATGAAAACTAAAGATTTGCTTTTGTGGCCTACCAGAGTAAACTACTTATATTTAATACGTTGTTCTGTTTTCTCTCTTCAGAAGGAAACTTCTAACAGAAGTAGATTTTAATAAAAGTGATGCCAGTCTTCTTGGCTCCGTGTGGAGATGCAGGCCTGATTCACTTGATGGCCCTGTGGAGGGTGATTCCTGCTCTGCAGGGAATTCTATGAAGGAGTTAAATTTTTCACACCTTCCCTCAAATTCTGTTTCCCCTGGAGACTATTTACTGACTACCACCCTAGGAAAGACAGGATTCTCAGCCACCAGGGAGAATCTTTTTGAAAGGCCTTCATTCAATACCCCTTTACAGAAGTCCTTTGTAAGTAGCAACTGGGCTGAAACACCAAGACTAGGAAAAAAAAATGAAAGCTCTTATTTCCCAGGAAATGTTCTCACAAGCACTGCTGTGAAAGATCAAAATAAACATACTGCTTCAATAAATGACTTAGAAAGAGAAACCCAGCCTTCGTATGATATTGATAATTTTGACATAGATGACTTTGATGATGATGATGACTGGGAAAACATAATGCATAATTTAGCAGCCAGCAAATCTTCCACAGCTGCCTATCAACCCATCAAGGAAGGTCGGCCAATTAAATCAGTATCGGAAAGACTTTCTTCAGCCAAGACAAACTGTCTTCCAGTGGCATCTACTGCTCAAAATATAAACTTCTCGGAGTCAATTCAGAATTACACTGGTAAGTTTAAAATAAATTGAATGCTTATATGAAAACAAAACTGTCCCAAAATAGGAATTATATAAGAAAAACCATAGCAAATCATGATTGCCTGAAAACCACATTGTTGCTATGCAAATTTCTACTGACGATATGAATTACAAATCACAATTTCAAAAGCAAGTTGCTCGTTTGTCTCTATAGCAGCTGTAGTTTTATAAAATGTGTAATTATAACCTATTGTAGTAGGGCTCTAAAGTCATTACAAATGTGCTTTGCCTTTGAATTAACATTTTTTAGTTCCTAAAACAATAAACTCATGAGGGCCCAGTTTTTAATGATTTTGGGATGAGCAAAAGCAAAAATGAATTCGCATGCTAAAAATGTACTTTAGAATTCTGTACTGATGAGAATCAATTAATACAAAGTAGGGAAGCATGTTTTATGTCTTAAAATGTTAAAATATAGGGCAGTCTAAAAAGGATGTGAAGTCAGAAGTGTCTTACATCAGTCAAACTACTTCTTTGGGCCTATGTGCTCACTACATGCCATGTGCTATGCTGGGCACTGGTCATTTAAAGATGAATAACAAATACTAAGTAGTTCCTGCCCTCCTGAGCTCACAGCTTAGTGAGAGAGAAGTTTTGAGAGGAATGAAATTAGCCACTATTAAGGCTCCAGAGAAAAGCCAAAAATAATTTTAAAACCTTTTACATCAACTATATAAAGTTATCAAAAGTATTTTTTAGCAGAAAAAAGTTTATAAGGTACAGCCCTCCCTATTTTTGTCATTGATGACTTAATACCATGGAGGTTGTTCTTACAGTTACGCTGCTGACCTTTAAAACAACCATTAATGGATTTATTTTTGTATCATGTTAGAATGTGTCATACTTGATATTTGCAATTATCTTGAGACAGTTGAGTGTTGGGGTTAGCGTAACTGCCAGAGCTGAGTGAGTACCTCTTGTTCTCTGTGCTGAACCGGAGTTGCGACAGCCAGGCTGCAGAGCAGGGGCGCATGTGAGAGGTGTTATGAAAGAAGAGCCTGAGGAAGCTCAGATGACTCTAAGGTTTCAGACGCTGATGACTGGGAAAACTGTGACAACAGTAACACAAACAGGGGAGTCAGGAGGCAGAGTCAGTTTTGGAGAAAAGCTGAGAAGGGCTATTTTAAGACTAGAGGTTAAAGTGCTGGTAAGTCATTCAGGTACCAATGCCTTGCAGACAACGGGAGCTGTGCGCAGGACTGGAACTTAGGAGGGTGTCATTTGGGTCTTAAGAGAGGTGTAGACATTTGCTGCACACAGGTCATGTGTGCAGCTAAGTGACTAAGCTATGATGTGACTAAGATCATAGGACTAGGAAAGCTCCAAAAAAGAATGTCTACAGAGCCCAGTCCCAAATATCTGAAAGACTCCCCTGTTTATGGGGCAGATGGAGGAAGTAGAGCCAGGAAAGGGAATTTAAAGTGAGTAGAAAACCATGATTGTCTTGATGATCGTGGTTGGAGGAAGGGAGAAGAGGAAGGAAGGAATAAAAGTATAGTGGTAGGTGCTGTAGAAAAAGTCAAGGAAATACTTGATTTGGGCCTTTGGCAAGTCTTTGGTGGCTTTGAGACTTGTAGGGAAGGAAAGCCGGTAAACAGTTTAGGAACTGTGCTGTAGGGAAACGTGTGCCAGTGATTCTGCAGGCCAAGGGAAATGCTAAAGCTGTACTTTCACTGTATTCATGCACTGATTTTTCTTAATGTTGATTATTTTCCTAGACAAGTCAGCACAAAATTTAGCATCCAGAAATCTGAAACATGAACGTTTCCAAAGTCTTAGTTTTCCTCATACAAAGGAAATGATGAAGATTTTTCATAAAAAATTTGGCCTGCATAATTTTAGAACTAATCAGCTAGAGGCGATCAATGCTGCACTGCTTGGTGAAGACTGTTTTATCCTGATGCCGACTGGTATGTATTTTTAGAAGTGAATTGGCAGGAATCCATTGGCAGATGTTAAATGAAAGCTCTTTAATAGAAATAAAAAGACCACCTACACACTATTGCTATCATTTAGGGACCTCTTAAACCTCCCATACCGTAGTAAGAAAGTATATTACTTTATATCCTCTGGTCTGGTTGTTGACATGATGAAGTTTATAGCCCTGTAAAATTTTCTTTTTTTTTTTTTTTTTGGGTGGAGAGGGGATGGAGTCTCGCTCTGTTGCCCAGGCTGGAGTGCAGTGGCGTGATGCCTGCTCACTGCAAGCTCTGCCTCCTGGGTTCACGCCATTCTCCTGCCTCAGCCTCCAGAGTAGCTGGGACTACAGGCGTGTGCCACCATGCCCGGCTAATTTTTTGTGTTTTTAGTAGAGACGGGGTTTCACCGAGTTAGCCAGGGTGGTCTCGATCTCCTGACCTCGTGATCCGCCCGCCTCGGCCTCCCAAAGTGCTGGGATTACAGGCATGAGCCACTGCGCCCGGCCTCCTGTAAGATTTTCAACTTGAAGCTCATTGTGTTGAACTGATCTAGAATTTTTCATTGGGAATTTTTCTTTTTTCTAGTCTAAACAATTTTGGAAATCAAACAGAAAAATCACTGTCAGAGACCATGACCATTTCTGGCAGTCTATTTGCAACAATCTAGTGTTGCATAGTGGTTAAATCATGTATGCATACGTGCATAGTGGTCCATCAGCTGTGGACCAAAGGCCTGAACTTAAAGAACAGCTCTGCTGCTCAAAGCAGTGTGGCCACGTGCAAGGCACTTTACTCCCTGGACCCGTTTTCTCATGTGTGCAATGGTGATAGCAGTGAAGTACCTGGTTCACAGAATGGCATGAGGATTAAATGAAAGTCATTTAGCACAATATTGTGTTGGCGCCACTTTAAAGAGTCTAGGACATTCATTGTGCTGTTAAAGCTTATGATAGCTGTTCAATGATTTATAGTCATTCACATGAGAATATTAAATAAACAGGGCAGAGCGCATGGAGAATTTGCAGTTTCAGTACCTACGTATCTAGACCTCCCTCTGTCTATCACTTGACTTGTGACCTTTAGCAAGTTAGCTAGTGCTGTCATTATTGTATAATGTTGACTGGGCATCTGAACTTTTTCAGCCTGGTTTTTAGATTCAGATAGCCTTGGCTTAATAATCAGCATTTCAATTTTTATTAATTTATTAATCACTCTGTGCCTTCCTTTCAACCCTATTTTGGTGTTCCAGAACTCTAAAGCTGGAAAAAACCTTGGCGATGATCTAATCCGTTGATTTTTTTTCAGGGCTTTCCATTGTCCTTTAGGGTTTCAAGAGGGCATTTTTAAGGTCCTTCTACCCCAATTTCAACCACTTGAGATATATACATATAAAAAATATCATTATGTATACTATGTATATTGTATTATAGATAATATGTCTATTATATGTAATTATAATATAGATATAGTATGTGTGTATAAATATTCCAAGTAAGGTTTAGTTTTATTTATTGTTTTTGAGATAGGTTCTCTTGGTCTGTCACCCATGCTGGAATACAGTGGTGCTGTCATAGCTCACAGCAGCTTCAACTGGGTTCAAACAATCCCCCCCACCTAAGCCTTCCAAGAAGCTGGGACTATAGGCATGTGCCACCACACCTGGCTAATTTTTAAATTTTTTGTAGAGATGAGATCTCACTGTGTTGCCCAAGCTGATCTCAAATTCCCTGGGCTCAAGCAGTCCACCTGCCTCAGGTTCCCAAAGTGATGGGATTTATAAATAATAAAAATAAATAAACATTATATAGAAAGTAATTATTTTAATCCTAGCATCATTTTTAGAGACTCTTCTACTACTAGAAATAAAAAGTTTACTGTATTCCATTACATTTTAAGTTTCCTGCCCTAATTCTTGCCTTTGCTATTATATATGTCTATGTAAGATGTCCTAGGCACAGTGGCTCTTGCCTGTAATCCCAGCACTTTGGGAGTCCAAGGAAGGTGGATTACCTGAGGTCAGGAGTTCAAGACCAGCCTGGCCAACATGGTGAAACCCATCTCTACTGAAAATACAAAAACTAGCAGGGTGTGGTGGTGGGCGCTTATAGTCCTAGCTACTGGGGAGGGTGAGGCATGACAATTGCTTGAACCTGGGAGGTGGAGGTTGTAGTGAGCTCAGGTGGCACCACTGCACTCCAGCCTGGGCAACAGAACGAGACTCTGTCTCAAAAAAAAAAAAAAACAAAACACTTTTTTTTTTAAAATCATTTTTAAATTGTCTAAATGTAATAGTTGGAGTCATTTGAGTGTGGCAAATTGTTGACACCAGGGACAATATGCCTTGGTGTCCTATTAAAGATATGATTTCTTTTGTAACTTTTACATTCATGCTCTCAAGACAGAACCTGACAGATATTTTTTCATTGTTTCTCTTTCAGGAGGTGGTAAGAGTTTGTGTTACCAGCTCCCCGCATGTGTTTCTCCTGGGGTCACTATTGTCATTTCTCCCTTGAGATCACTAATAGTAGATCAAGTCCAAAAGCTGACTTCCTTGGATGTAAGTTGTAAAAATACTAATAAAAACATGCCTTAGAAACAATTAAATTTCAGTCCTCTGGATAACCTTTTTATTAAATAGTTCATAATTTGTAAAAATAAAGCACAGCAATTAAATTAAGTTGTGCAGTTAAACAGAAGTCTGAAAATTTGATACAGATAACCTGTAGTTCAATCTCATTTTATTCTACAAGAATGTATTTTAGTAAGAACTTTTAACCAATGCTATTTTTTGCTGATGTAATTTTTTTTTAACTAATAGAAAATCATTTCTTTTATCAGTACTGCCAGGTCAGCGTAGTTCTCTTTCCCTTATATCTTAAAATGCATACACACATGCATGCCTGCACACATACGTCTTTTTTCCTCATGGCTGAGTTTAAGGAAGTAAATGAATGCATTCTACCTAACTCTTCACAATGTTGGTGGGGGTGGTGGCTCACGCCTGTAATCCCAGTGACTTGGAAGGCTAAGGTGGGAGGATTGCTTGAGGCCAAGAATTCAAGATCAGCCTGGGCAACACAGCAAGACTTTTTCTACAGAAAAATAAAATAAGCTGGACATGGTGGTGAACACCTGTGGTCCCAGCTACTTAGGAAGCTGAGGGTCACTTGAGCCCAGGAGTTTGAGGCTGCAGTGAGTCATGATCATGCCACTACAATCTAGCCTTGGTGAAAGCAAGACCCCAACTCAGTCTTCACATTGTGATTAAAAAGAACTGTTTTAGGAGTTAAAGTAACCACTCCTTGATAAGACCACTAGTTTGGTTTGCTTCCAAAGAATGTCTTAGTGCAGTGATGGTAGCCATTATTCAACCATTTGTGATATTATGGCCCCTTCCTTGTCATTAATCTTTAAAACCCTGAAATACATTTATCTAAAAAAAAAATGACACCATACAGTAGGATTGGAATATCTTGTATACCAAATTCATATTTATCTTGTTTACAAAGATGAAAAATAAAGCAAGAAAAGGAAATAAACAATGAGAAGACCATTTTGTGTTATGCTTTTTTTTTTTTTTTTTTTAAAGACAGAGTCTTGTTTTGTCGCCCAGGCTGGAGTGCAGTGGTGCAACCTTGGCTCACTGCAACCTCTGCCTCCCAAGCTCAAGCAATTTTCCTGCCTCAGCCTCCTGAGTAGCTGGGATTACAGGCACCCAGCACCACGCCAGGCTAATTTTTGTATTTTCAGTAGAGATGGGGTTTCTCCGTGTTGGCCACGCTAGTCTCGAACTCCTGACCCCAAGTGATTCACCTGCCTCAGCCTCCCAAAGTGCAGAAATTACAGGTGTGAGCCACCACGCCCTGCCTGAGTTACACTTAATAAGGGTTTTTAAAAAATGTATGTACTTACATACTTGTTATATTGAGATATGTATTTCCTTTGATAGATTTGATACGTGACTAATAAAGTATTTATAAAACCTAAAAACAAATGTAATTTTGTCAGGTTAATGTATAAAATTGAAATTGTTTACTACTTTTATACTTAGATTCCAGCTACATATCTGACAGGTGATAAGACTGACTCAGAAGCTACAAATATTTACCTCCAGTTATCCAAAAAAGACCCAATCATAAAACTTCTGTATGTCACTCCAGAAAAGGTTTGTATTTATATCATTATTTTAAAATATATTAAAGACCACTAGAATACATATATTTTTAAAATTTTAACAAAATTTTTTATATGTAGTGCAAAGAATTTTTGTATAACTTTCATCCAGAAACCCTAAATGGTAGCATTTTACTATAATTGCTTTGTTATTCTCTCTCTGCATATATTTTCCTGAAACATTTGATTGAAAATTGCAGACATGGTATCCTTTTAAACCCTAAGTACTTCACTGTGCATTTCCTAAAAACAAAGTATTCTCTTATATAACCTCAGTATAATGATCAAAATTAGGAGATGTATATTGATGCAGTACTATTACTTAATCTGTAAACCTTATTCCGGTTTCACTAGTTGTCCCAATCATGTCCTTTATAGCAAAAGAAAATCCCAGATCTTGCATGCATTCAGTTGTCCTCTGTAATCTTGTAAACAGTTTCTCTCTCTTAATGTCTTTAATGATTTTGACATTTTTGAAGGCCAGTCGTTTTGAGAACTATCCCTCAATTTGAGTTTATCTTGCTTCCTCCTGCTTAGATTCCTGTTACTCCTTGAATATCACAGAAACGGTGATATGTTCTCATGCCCACTGTCAGGAGGCACTTGATGTCGATTCATCCCATTACTGACAATGTTAGTTAACTGATCGCTTGGTTATGATAGTGTCTGATAGACTTCTCTGCTACAAAGTTATCCTTTCTTTTTGGCCTTTGTAATTAGTAGATATCCTGTTGTGGGATGCTTTGAGACTATGTAAATACCATTAGTGATCAGAATTTTACCCACAACTTTTAGCATCCATTGATGATTCTTCCTCAAATCAATTATTACTATAATAGATATAAAATTATTTTTTAAATGTAGTTGGCGTTTTGCTGTAAAAAGAGTTTTCCCATTGATTACACTTTTTTTTTTTTTTTTTTTTTTTGGAGGTGGAGTCTTACTCTGTCACCCAGGCTGGAGTGCAGTGGCGCAATCTCAGCTTACTGCAACCTGTGTTCAAGCAATTGTCCTGCCTCTGCCTCCCAAGTAGCTAGGACTACAGGTGCGTGCCACGACACCTGGCTAATTTTTGTAGTTTTAGTAGAGATGGGGTTTTGCCATGTTGGCCAGGCTGGTCTGGAACTCCTGACCTTAAGTAATACACCCGCCTCGGCCTCCCAAAGTACTAGGATTACAAGCGTGAGCCACTGTGCCCAGCCCACATATTTATTGATACAGCATGAACTCATGACTTCTTAATTTATTCAGTGAGTTACAATCAATTATCAAGTATTTTGATGTTCTAATTGTCCTAGATGTGACCAGTGAGACATCTCTATCAAGCTGGCTTCTCTGTCCTTTTGACATGTCCGTCAAGATGTGAGTGCTACATGTGCTCGTTGCTACTGAGATGTCCTTGCTTCTAGGCCCTGTTATGAAGAGAGCTATAAAGTATATAATTTCTTCCCCAGCCAACATGCATCCATATAACCCAGATATGGAACCGTGTTGCCAGTGTAAATGTGTGGTGGCCCTCAGATGTCTTGAAGCAGACAAAAGTTTTAGAACCACTAACCTGCTAAATAAGCTGTTTGCTTAATGTTGGTGAACATTCTAAAATGTGATCTGCTATTTTCTGTTACTTCTGCTGTTCTCTTCATAGATTGAAATAAGAACCAATTTTATATGGAGGTGTTTTTTTTGTTTGTTTTGTTTTTTCTTGAGACCGAGTTTTGCTGCTGTTGCCCAGGCTGGAGTGCAGTGGCGTGATCTCGGCTCACTGCAACCTCTGCCTCCTGGGTTCAAGCAATTCTCCTGCCTCAGCCTTCCTGAGTAGCTGAGGTTACAGGCATGCACCACCACGCTCGGCTAATTTTGTATTTTTAGTAGAGACGGGGTTTCCCCATGTTGGTCAGGCTGGTCACAAACTCGCGACCTCAGATGACCCGCCTGCCTCAGCCTCCCAAAGTGCTGGGATTACAGGCGTGAGCCATCGCACCCGGCCTTATATGGAGGTTTTAATACAGCTTAAGTTGTAATGGAATTCGAAGACAACAGAATCATAAGGTGATGTGTTTCAGTGTTTTTAAATGTCTAATATATTTCTGGCCTAGATCTGTGCAAGTAACAGACTCATTTCTACGCTGGAGAATCTCTATGAGAGGAAGCTCTTGGCACGTTTTGTTATTGATGAAGCACATTGTGTCAGTCAGGTAAATATTGTTTTTTATATCCAGAAATACCAATAAATACATACTACCAACAATATATGTATTTTCAATACTGAAGAAAAACTCACGTTGAGTGAACTAGTCTGCTATTTTACTGAAGAATAAGGTGGTTCTTAATATATTGAGCAGTGTTGGCTTTTTATAGAGGGAAGCTCCAAATAGTCTGAAAAGCATTTTTTTTTTTTTCCCAACTAGTGGGGACATGATTTTCGTCAAGATTACAAAAGAATGAATATGCTTCGCCAGAAGTTTCCTTCTGTTCCGGTGATGGCTCTTACGGCCACAGCTAATCCCAGGGTACAGAAGGACATCCTCACTCAGCTGAAGATTCTCAGACCTCAGGTGTAAGTTGTTGCACGTCATGTATTTGAGAACCCTGGGGCAGTGATTGCCAGAGCTGCTACACGTTAGAATTACCTGTGGCGCTTTAACACCACTACCCCACCCCACCCCCATGCCCAAGTTGTACCCAGTGGCAGCTAAATCAGAATGTTTGGGGCTGAGAGCCAGTAGTTTTTTTAAAAATCCCCAAGTGATTACAATGTGCAGCGGAGTTTGGGAACCAGAGTCCTAGGGCTTTTCTTCACTTGCTGAAATTAAAACTCCATTTCAGTACCTACTTTGGAAGTAGGGATAAATTGCATACCATACCTATCATCCCTGGTATAGTCCCAGCAATAAATAAATTTTTACTTATCTAATTTTGGCGTCCATATATCCTAGAGTATATTTCGTGAAGTGAAAGATGACCCTGCTTTGTCATTTCCCCCTAAGGTCCCAATTGAATCCACGATGTTGAAAATGGTCCAGATACTATGTCGAATAGTTTTTTTACTTTGTTTTCTTCTCAACAACAAATTGCTTCTTGTTGCCACCACATCCATAGCTCTTCAGTAACAAAACCTATAAAAGAAATCCCCGCATATGTATCTAGGCTGTACTGGATTATTTTATACTTCTACCTGAGTTTGTAGAGATACGGATTTTTGGTAGGTTTATTCACTCAGCAAATATTTAACAACCGTTGTGTGCCAAGGTTAAAGTATTTTTTTCTTCTAGTTTGTTAGTGTGCGCTTGAGTTTGAGATGTAAACATTAACATGGTATGCCTGAAGGAGTAATGACGGAACCGGATACTAGGGTGAATTTTTGAAGCACAGCTTTTGTTCATTTGAAAATAAAGGGCCGGGCGCGGTGGCTCAAACCTGTAATCCCAGCACTTTGGGAGGCCGACACGAGCGGATCACGAGGTCAGGAGATTGAGACCATCCTGGCTAACCCGGTGAAACCCCGTCTCTACTAAAAAAAAAAAATACAAAAAACTAGCCGGGCGAGGTGGCGGGCACCTGTAGTCCCAGCTACTCGTGAGGCTGAGGCAGGAGAATGGCGCAAACCCGGGAGGCAGAGCTTGCAGTGAGCTGAGATCCGGCCACTGCACTCCAGCCTGGGCGACAGAGCGAGACTCCGTCTCAAAAAAAAAAAAAGAAAAGAAAAGAAAATAAAGACAAGCTGGCTCTGTAAATATTATAAGCAGTAAGAACAGCAACAGTATCTCTTAGAGGATTATGAGAAGAACTGAAGGTTCCTTGTGAAGGATATGAATGGGTCATTAGATTAAGATAGCTACAAAGGCTTTTGCAGGTTAAACTGGCAGCTTCTAAATTATCTGATCTAAATCAAGGAATTCCAACATTTTGGGTTTCTTCCAGCCTTTAAGTTGTTTGGTTCCGGCCTAGAATATTTTATTACTAGTAGCACTGTTATATAGCACTAATGACCATACTCAAGTGCAAGGATTTTAGAGTCCTCAGAATTTTGCGTGTGTGACCACAAAGTTTGGAATGGAATATTTTAATTTAATCTCACTTGCAGAGGAGTATTTGTATAAAATTTGGGGAAAAATATTTTGCTTCTATCATTGATATGCATTATAATGCTATATTTAACGTGTCATATTAGGCTAGGCATAGTGGCTCACACCTGTAATCCCGGCACTTTGGGAAGCCAAGGCAGACGGATCACCTGTGGTCAGGAGTTCAAGACCAGCCTGGCCAGCGTGGCAATACCCCATCTTTACTAAAAATACAAAAATTAGCCAGGCCTGGTGGCATGCGCCTGTAATACCTGCTACTCAAGAGGCTGAGGCAGGAGAATTGCTTAAACCCAGGAGGTGGAGGTTGCAGTGAGCCAAGATCACGCCACTGTACTCCAGCCTGGGCAACAGTGTGAGGCTCTGTCTCAAAAAAAAAAAAAAACACACACAAAAACCAAAAAATTTATATTATACTCTAGATTCTAATAAATAGCCTATTTGCAAGAACTTTGCTTCTATAAGTACTGCATTGATCCATAATTTTTTTTTTTTTTTTTTTTTTTTTTTGAGACAGATCTTGCCATGTTGCCTTGTTACCCAGGCTGGTCTCGAACTCCTGGGCTTAAACAATCCTCCCGTCTCAGCCTTCCTAAGTGCTGGGATTTTTCTGTCTGCTTATGCCAGATGTAATCTATTGTTCTTTTGGATCAGTTACATTAATGACAAATGCCCATAGTTAAATGATAAAAAAAATTTCTTTTCCTTTTGAATGACTTTTTGTAAGTATAGGATTTGTGATTTATGTTTGAGTAAACAGTGCACATATTTATTTATTTATTTAGGGGCAGGCACCTTGAATCTCTTTTCTTAGTACTGTGGAGAAGAGATCTGCCTGGGAAAGCAAGGTTGTGGATTTCCAGTCTCCAGCACTTGGTACATAATTGGTACTCAGTAGTAATCAATAAATGAAAAACATGGAGGAATTTGGGTAAATGTAAAAATTTAGGTATGTCTGTTGACTCCTTAATGTGTTTGGCCCTTCCCTGCATTTGGAAGTAGGAAATTTTAAGGAACACTTTCTGGGACTCTGTTTCCTGATCTCTTCTGCCAGTAGGCCCCTGGTTTGGATTAACTTTGCTCAACTGCTGCTATGTCGTGACCCTGGTGAAGTCAGGTATTCCTAAGGTTGAAGCCACAGCCCCTGTGCTGCTCTCCTCCTGCCAGTCTATAATAATATCCTTCCTCTTTGGGAAATACAAGGCACATAAGAAAGGCTATATTCCATTTCCTTAGGGCCTTCAAATATGAACTGGAAGAGAGCAAAGAGACAGGCATATAGAGTTAACTATAGTAGAACAATAATAATAGCTAACACTTACATATCCAGCCTACTCAGTGTGCCAGGCCCTGTTGTCATTTTATGTGTATTAACCCCCTTGTCCACACAGAAGCAAGGTAGGTACTCCTATTTTCCTCATTCTACAGGTGAGGAAATTGAGGCACAAAGAGACTACATAACTTCATATGCCTAGCAAGAGTTGGAGTGAGAACTTAAAACCCCAGAAAGCTGGTTTCAGAATCCTTTAAATACTAGGTCAATTTGCAGAAAGAAGAAAGCAGTGATTTGAGATGTAAATTACAACTGCAGAAACTGAAGAAGACAAGATAAGCTAGAACCCCCAGTAACAGCTGTTATGAGGAGGAGTCAGATCAAGTTTCATAAAGGAACTGGGCATTGTAGGAGGAGTAGTTTATTTAAAAGCGTAGGCTGGGCGTGGTGGCTCACGCCTGTAATCCCAGCACTTTGGGAGGCCGAGGTGGGTGGATCACCTGAGGTCAGGAGTTCAAGACCAGCCTGACCAACAAGGAGAAACCCTGTCTCTACTAAAAATACAAAACTAGCCAGGCCTGGTGGTGCATGCCTGTAATCCCAGCTACTGGGGAGGCTGAGGCGGGAGAATTGCTTGAACCTGGGAGTCGGAGGTTGCAGTGAGCCGAGATTGTATCACTGCACCCCATCCTGGGCAACAAGAGTGAGACTCTGTCTAAAAAATAAATAAATAAATAAATAAAAGTGTAAACAGCAGCCTAGCACAGTGGCTCACACCTGTACACCTGTAATCCCAGCACTTTGGGAGTCCAAGGCAGACAGATCACCTGAGGTCAGGAGTTCAAGACCAGCCTGGCCAACATGTTGAAACCCCATCTCTACTAAAAATATAAAAATTAACCAGGCGTGGTGGTGGGCATCTGTAATGCCAGCTACTTGGGAGGCTGAGGCAGGAAAATTGGTTGTACCTGGGAGGTGGAGGTTGCAGTGATCCGAGATCATGCTACTGCACTGCAGCCTGGGTGATAGAGCAAGACTCCATCTCAAAAACAAACAAACAACAACGAAAGCTTAAACGGCTGTATTGAGATACAATTTACATACCATAAAATTCACCTAAAGTTGACACTTCAGTGGCCTTTTTTTTAGTTTGTTTATGGGGTTGTGCAGCCATCACCATTATCTAATTTTAGAACATGTTCGTCTCCATTGAAAGGGAGAGCACACCCAGTAGCAGTCAATTCCTACTTTCTCACTCCGCCATTCCTAGGCAACCCCTCATCTACTTTCTGTCTCCGTAGATTTGCGCCTATTCTGGACATTTCATATAAATGGAATTAAATGGAATCACATAACATGCGACCTTTTGTGACTGACTTATTTCACTGAGCATGTTTTTAAGGTTCCTCCATGTTGTAGCCTGTTCCAGTATTTCATTCCTTTCTATTTTCAAATAATACTCCATTTTATGGATCCTACTCTCTGTTTTATTTACCCATTCATCATTTGATGGATGTTCAAGCTGTTTCAATTTTTTGGTTTTTTTGAATAATGCTGCTGTGAACATTTGTGTAGAAATTGTTCTGTGGTCATAAGTTTTATTTCTCTTGGGTTGCTGGGTCTGTGGTAACTGTACGATTAACCTTTTCAAGGACTGCTAAACTATTTTTCAAAGTGCCTCCATCTTTTTTTTTTTTTTGAAACGGAGTCTCACTCTGTCACCCAGGCTGGAGTACAGTGACACAATCTTGGCTCACTGCAACCTCCACCTCCTGGGTTCAAGCGATTCTCCTGCCTTAGCCTCCTGAGTAGCTGGGAGTACAGGCACGTGCCACCACACCTGGCTAATTTTGTATTTTTAGTAGAGACGGGGTTCTACCATGTTGGCCAGGCTGTTCCTAAACTCCTGACCTCAGGTGATCCACCTGTCTCGACCTCCCAAAATGCTGGGATTACAGGTGTGAGTCACCGTGCCCGGCCGCCTCTATCATTTTATATTACCTTCAGCAGTGTATGGGGGTTGCAATTTTTCCACATGCTCATCAACATTTGTTACTGTCTTTTTTTTATTACAGCTATATGAAGTGGTAGGTGAATGGCATTTTAGCAGGCAAAGAGTGAAAATTCAGGGCTGACGTTTCTGTTGTAAAAATACTGGTCAGGCCAGGCTCGGTGGCTCACGCCTGTAATCCCAGCACTTTG